CGACCTCATCCGGCGAGACGAGCTCTGGGTCCTCGCCAGAGTCGGCAACCGACGATGAGGAACCGGGTACAGTGAAGCCCAGCTCAGCCACGGGATCGTCTTTCAGGAACCAGGAATCGACGCCGTCATCGGGATCGGCGACGACCAGCTCGGGCAGCACCCCCAGCACGGATTCGACCAAGCAGGAGGACTCGACTAAACAGGAGGAGGACTCAACTAAACAGGAAAGCAGCAAGCCGGCATCCTCGGCTACGGGCCCGACGACTGCAGTCTCGGCCAAGAACGAGTCAAGTGTCGCTACTGCCGCGGGTGCTGCGATCTCTCCAGCAGGTATCGCCGGTATTATCGTGCTGGGAGTCGTGGCTGTGGCCGCATTGGCAGTATTCGTAAGCTACCGCAAGAACCAGCAACGGCAGCGGGACATCATGCGCGACGGCGGTATCCAAGTCATTTAAGTCCCAGGCAAATTCCAAGAAGCTCGTAATAGATCGAGCCAACGTGATGAAGCGTACGCGGTGTGCGTCGTCGCAGGTGAAAGACAGAGTGAGAGATACAATAGCGCGGCGAGGCCACCAAATGTGAGCATAAAGTCAATCGAATCCGGTTTAGTTTTATCTGATCCTCCCGCTTCGCAAAGCGCAAAGCCTCGGCATGATCGAGTTTAAGAGCGTGCACTTTGATCACCAACGATGATTCCCCGTTGAGACTCAAAAGGGGGTGCTCTTGGAAGTGCTGCTAACTCTTAAGCTGGTACATGTAGGTGCATGCTTGAACAGACAATGGCAGTAGACCTACACTTTCGACTGCATTGTTTTCCGTGTGAATATGGTAGTGTTCAGGGCAGTGAATGCCTGCAATTTTGCAGTGCAAATGACAATTCGGTGCTTACGGCACGAAGAGAATGAAAAGTATTCATGTACTGGGGAGAAGTGAAGGTGATGTTGAGCTTGTCGTGCCCACGTCTTTCGTGGCGCCATGGCTCCGATGCTGAGATATCGGACTTGAATGTTCAGACGTTCGGTGAGGCGGGGTAACGTTCGGTGCCCCACGCCTTTAGTCGCGCTCTTGAGAATGCAGAAGCGTTCCAGTGCCATGAACTGTCGGTGGCGATCCGATGGCGACGATGACCGGTCGATAAATCAAAACGGCACTTTTACAGTATCTCTTTCAAATTGCAACACACTTCGACAGTTTCTTTACTAATTATACAAGGGATGTCTTCTGTAATTCTCAAAATTAAAAAATCTTGGATGACAACGGTTTGAACAGGGTATGTTTAACCACATTCGTGCAATTTTGTTGATTCTCTGTAAAGGCATTGGCAGCTGTCGCGACGGAAGCATCTGTCGGGTAGACCAGGTCTCCATTCAGAGTCAGTGCTGCCCAAGCTTCTGCATCGGTAGCGGCCCCACACTCCATTTCAACCGTAGCGAGAGAGAACGTCGGACCTGCAGCGTCATACAATATGCAGGTGTCAGCGGTGATCTCGTTCCTGGCCGTGGCGGTCATGACCGTCCGCGCCGACAGCTTCAGTGCCGAGGACCAGGCAATCTGGATCGACCGGTACAACTACTTCCGTACCACAGGTCTGCCGTGGTCTGCTGGAGATATGCGTCGCATCGGATGGAGCTCCGACCTGGCCACGAGTGCCGCCTCCACGGCCTCCAAGTGCTCGGCCACTTCCGCAGCAGGTGTCAACGTGTACCAGTCTTCCTCGGCCAACTCGTCGTCCATCATCGACGAGGCCATTCAGCAGTGGGTCGTAGAGACGTCCATGTCGACGCTCAAGACGTTGGCCCAACCCGGCGCTTCGGGGGTTGATGTCGGAACAGGTACGTATAACTCATACTCACAGGTTCTTTGGGCCGCGACCACCAGTGTCGGATGCGCTACGGCCAGTTGCTCGGGCGGTGAAATGGTCGTGTGCGAATACTCGCCGGCAGGCAACGACGGGTCGTCACCCTGGTACGTCCACGCCGACACGGCGTCGGACTGTCCGTCCGGCACGACAGCATCACAGGGACTTTGCATTGTCGAAGGAGACGCAGCCAACAACCAGATCGCTCCCATTCCGGCAGGCAAACTGACATACGAGGTGTATCCGTCCTATGTGGCTGACATTCAGACAGTGTTGATTGAGGCGGCACGCGCCTTGGCCAATGGATCGGGTACGAGCTCGACGGAACAGACAGCATCGAACTCGACGGAACAGACAGCCACGACCCCCACGGCCACGACAGCAGCGCCTAACACACCGTCTTCGGCCACGCAGGACACCAGTGCTGCTACCAAGACCAGCTCATCCAATGAGGACAGCGGTGCTGCTACTAAGACCAGTTCGTCCACGGAGGACAGTGCAGCTACCAAGACCAGTTCGTCCACGGACGACAGTGCGGCTACTAAGACCGACTCGTCCAAGAAGACTACCACTGCATCGTCATCAACAGACTCGAGCTCGAGCTCCGATTCCTCTACCACCGCCACGAAGACTGGCAAGACATCGGAAACGCCCGCCACATCGTCGTCAAGCTCGAGCTCTGAGTCCTCTTCCACGGCCACTAAGACCGGCAAGACGACTCAAACTACGGAGGACTCCTCGACGAAGCAAACGACGGCCTCGAACTCTGATGAGTCGGCTCCTGG